ATGAATCGTCGCACGGCTACGTTTCCCGTCCTCAGATGAGGCGGGCCTGGTTCCCAAGGCCCGGCGCTCACTCCGTGGCACAGCGGTGGCGCCCCAGATGCGCCGAGTAATGAAAGCCATGGGAGTGGGCCCAAGATGCACGTGCGGAAGCGACGATGTAATTGCTATGGTATGTGAGGAGCTTGCTGGATCGGCTTGGAGAGGTCTTGGATGGGTTAGGTGGCAACGGGGGCCCTTACCTGGTGAGGCTGATAGGACGCGAGGGATATGATGCACACGCTATATAGGATTATAAGGGATATGTGGTGGCATACGAGGTGAAGAGGACGAGGCGGCTAATAACGTTTCGCCAACCACGTACCGAACGCGCACCAAACTCAGTGCCATTTAATGCATGTTGCATTCATTCAATTTGCATTTACAGTGCTTTCATTCACTTAACATCTGCCTTACAAACCTTTCCCATGAAACTGTCGCGAGGAGATTTTAAAATGATTCATAACGAGCTTATATGGGCCTTACGGGCCTTTTGATTGAGGTGCGAGGAACTATCGGCTTTTAGAGCATGGGAGGGCGGCGATGCGAAGTGAGACGAAGCCAGATGTCACAAGTGATCATGCATATAGTCATTAAGCTATGGGTTGCTCAAAAGACACATCCCGAAATATCACTGGGAAAGCTACATTCGCTTCCGTGCAGAAGCGGGTTTGAGAGGACTTGTGCCATGACTTGAAAATGCATGGGGAAAAACCGGGAAAAACTACCTATGCAAAATTCAGGTACTTTTTGCAAGCAGGAGAGTGGCATTGGCTGGAGGCCAGCCTGAAGGAGTGCCCTATGACCCCTTTATTTCGAGGGATCACAATTTTCTTCTGTTTGCTCAAACCATGCTGATAGTGCGCTCATTGGCGGAAAGGGGCCCACAGAGCCATAATTTGCGACGCGATGGGCTATCATGATTCGAGACAGCGAGAGGAGATTGTTTAAGCGCGAGTCCTGACCCCACTGGCAGTACGTACGCACTGTGAACAGATTACATACCCCCAAAACGCCAATGAGTGCATTAAAAGTATCCCGCACATCAATGAGCTTTTGATGTTGGTTTGCCCTGGTGCCCTCACATTTGTTTTAACCACGCGCACCCATCTAACATGTTCACTCGGGCTATCCGTTAGCCTCCTCACGAAATAATGTCTGTAGGTTCTACACGTCGCTCGCTGCCCGTGATAGTCATGAGAATTCCACCGAAATAGTTCTCTTTATCACCAGATTCCGGAATTGTATTCAGTAGTGTCGTAGTGAAAAACGGCGCTCGAAACCTCCAGAAGTCTAAATTCCCATGACCTCCTGGCTACGCCGCTCTTGAAGGACCCCTTTAATTGAGCACAAGGGAGATCCAATTAACCTCCAGACTGGAAACCCAAGCGTAGAACTCCGGTGCCTTCAACCTAACCCGGTCACGTGGCAACATGGTCCCGTGACCTGGAACCCAACCACATGACCCTGCAACCTGACTGCGATGAGCAGCATGACCCTGTCGCCTGCAACATGACCATTCGACCTGCACCTGGACCTCGCGACATGCCAACTGGACTACGTGACCTTCGACCGGATCACGTGACCTGCGACTGGACCGAGTGACCTGCAACCTGACTCCGTACACTGCAACATGACACCGTGCCCTGCAAACCGGACCACACGACTTAAAACCTGGTCCATAACCACCTGGCCCCGTAACTCAGATAGTACGGGCGTAGTGGCCTTAGGAACCGTGCTCATCGATATCAGGTCAAACTTTTTATGTGTGTGGGTTTTCCAGCCAACACAAAGGGCGCGCTGAGCTCCGAAGATGTCCCCTGAAACGTGGAATACGAATCTGATGCTGAACTTGACTGTCACCACATTTAGTGAAGCGTAGTAAAGTTGGTATGCTGTGCTGCCACTTCCATACGTGGTCTCTGATTCGTTGTTTCTGCTTGCATAGCGGGAACGGCTTAGGAGCAGACATGATGCTCCTCTTTGCAAGGAAAGTAAAAGTACAAAGTTGAAGAAAACCGGAACTATTTCGCTCATCAATGCGGGAAGCATCGCGTGTGGAGTGGGCGTGTAACGTGGGTGGTTAGGGTGGATAGAAGGGCTTATGTCGAGGTTTTTTCACGGTTTTCCCTTGTCTGTAGGATACTTTTTACGTTTTGCGCCGAGGTCTGACGCCTGACGGTCAAGCCCGAAGTGACCACAATGGTCCGTTTGTCCAGCATGCCTTTTGATCGTAAGTGATGCCGAGCATGCGTTGTGTGAAAGGTGTGATCTCGGGGGCATGTATCCTACCTGTACAATCTATGCTATGAAGTTCGGTTATAGCATTCATGTGATAAAGCTGAGCTATGTGCTAAGGTGGTGATGGTTCAGTTTTTCCTGGTATTTTGATATATAAGTGCATAAAATGGCCAGGGATAATGTACCCATGGAGTACTTAATGCCCACAATGTCAGGACTAGGCACAATGATAAGCCAGCCTTCATTTATCTCATGTGTAAGTTTCTCAAGGTTGCAATTTTCTTCCAAGCCTTTCATTTTCAGCATCAGCTTTGAGCCATTTACTGCTAGCACCAGCCTAAACTATATGCCATCTGGAATGGTGTGCTTCACGTGTTGAGAAGTCATTGTGATATTTTACACCTGGCTCCAGCCCCAACTTTGAACAATTTTTATATTTTGATTATGGTTTTAATTTAGCTTCATGCCATGCACAACTGATGGACTTATCACAAACTGGCAAAGCAGTCATCTTGATCTCAAAATCTCAAAATTAGAGCTTGTGATTCAGTTACCACTGATGAAGGCAAGCAAGCTAGTGATATAAACTGTGTCAAGAGGAGTACTCACATTAGCTATTGGCTGTTGTGAGCTGATTTTGGTTGATTACTTCTTATAAACAATTATGTATATGAATATAGTATATGAGATATTCAAGCAAGGCATAGTTTTTCCATTTTGCTCCTGTGTGTGAACACCATCAACTTCAGTGGCTTCCTGTGTGGCCTGCTAGGTGCTGTTATCCTATGAAAATGTTGGAAAATTGATGGTAGGTTTTATTAAGCTGCAAGGTGCCATATATCCAGAAGGATTGGTGCACATAACTATATGTGTTACTTTGTTATTCCACAGCTTTTTGCCTTTTGCTATGGTATGCCTGTTCTGGCCATGGAGCTCCAGCATTTTGAATTACGTCACTAGCAATCTCATGGCATCAGCAGCACTTGGTCAGATGCATTGTATTCAACAAATGGGCTGTCTGTTTATTTTTTCTTGAGCATCTAGATTTGATGATATATTAAAAAATGTCCCATGATATGTATAATTAACATTTGCATTTCAAGGAACTGTCAGTCACCATTTTAGGGCCACTGATGCCACCTCATAACACCATCCAGTTGACCATATTGCCAGCAGTCAACCACTTTGCAGCCATCAAACTGAGTGTGGAAAATGACTAATTAATAAGCTGTAAGCGGTGTATAGGCATTCTGTACCATCAATGCCTTCATCTGCCGGCAGGTCGACATGCACTTCCAATGATGAACTCGCCCCTCTGCCACCGTACATGGACCAAGGCATCGGCCACAACCGCTGCTGCAACCGCCGCTGCTGGTGCATCAGCGACATCTGTGGCATCATCTGTGTGCTGGTCACGTGGTTTTTGATCGGCTACGCCGAGTACGTGGTGACGGGCGTGATCCTGCTGTCGTGGCCTGACTCGGTGGGCCGCCCTCCACCTGCTGCTCTACAACGGCCTGACGGTGCTGGCTCTCTCCAGTCATCTGCGCCATGCTCACCGACCCGGTGGGTGGCAGCCGGGGCACGACCGGCGCTGCTGCTGCCGGCCGGCGGTGGTGCCCGTCACCGCCGGGGCGACAGGCGCGGGGCGTGGCCGGGTGTACGTGTCGCCGGCAGCGGACAAGCGGACTGGCCCGGTCCGGTCCGACGCTGCCGATGTCTGTCTTCGTGCAACTGAGGACTCCGCCGTGCGGAGTGGCGGCGGACTCGTCCGTGTCCGTTGTGGGGGTGGCGGACTCGTCCGTGTCTCGTTGTCGGGGTGGCGGGACTCGTCCGTGTCTCGTGTGCGGGTGGTGGCGGACTCGTCCGTGTCTCGTTGTGCGGGGTGGTGGCGGACTCGTCCGTGTCTCGTTGTGCGGGGTGGTGGCGGACTCGTCCGTGTCTCGTTGTCGGGGTGGTGGCGGACTCGTCCGTGTCTCGTTGTGCGGGGTGCGGCGGACTCGTCCGTGTCTCGTTGTGCGGGGTGGTGGCGGACTCGTCCGTGTCCCGTTGTGTGGGGGTGGTGGCGGACTCGTCCGTGTCTCGTTGTGGGGGTGGTGGCGGACTCGTCCGTGTCTCGTTGTGCGGGGTGATGGCGGACTCGTCCGTGTCTCGTTGTGCGGGGTGGTGGCGGACTCGTCCGTGTCTCGTTGTGCGGGTGGTGGTGGACTCGTCGTGTCTCGTTGTGCGGTGGTGGCGGACTCGTCCGTGTCTCGTTGTGCGGTGGTGGCGCTCGTCCGTTCTCGTCTTTGCGGGGTGGTGGCGGACTCGTCCGTGTCTCGTGTGCGGGGTGGTGGTGACTCGTCCGTGTTCCGTCATATGGGGTGTGGCGGACTCGTCCGTGTCCCGTCGTGTGGGGTTGGTGGCGTACTCGTCCGGGTCCCGTCGTGTTTGTGTGGTGCGGACTCGTCCGTTCCCGTCGTTATGTCTTCATCAGCATTGCTCATCTTATCTCTCCAGATTTTTTGTCTGCTCACGACTCGCCTTTGTCGCCGCTCGTTTCCTCGAAGTGCAAACTCACTTTCGTCACCCACGAAAGTGAAGTTTGGCTGAAATTGCTCGCCGTCTGTGAGCGGAAGGCTGCTCAGCCTTCGCGCGAAAGAGTTTGACCCTGCTGTTCCACTGTGTGACCCGCGCTTGATCCGAGTGTCGTTCGAGTCTGACCCATTGGTTTGCAGGGTGCGGTACCCGCGGAAACGCCACGCGAGAGGCCATGCAGCGCGTGACCATGCAGGAGGGTGGCGTGGTGTACAAGGTGAGACTTTCCGCCGTCTGCGTGATGGTGGGCATTGTGAAGGACGGACGTTTGCCGTGCGAACCCGTCTACCTGGTACGCGTGAGTGGGTATGTAGGTATCCGGCGGTATGTGGTCCGATTGAGGTGGGATAATCTGGATCATAGCTGTCGCTGCTGGTCTTCGTTGTGCTGCTTATCCGTGACGATGTAGCAGTCCTGTTAGCTGCCTCTGCGTGGTATACGGTTTGTCGGCGGCGGCTGCGGTCACAAATCTGGTGGTCTTGGTTGTGGTAATGGTGTCTCCAGCGGTGTTCAGAGCTCGTCGGAAGGAGGCGAAAGCAACTGCCGGCTCACAGAACATGTCGTGCACTATTGACGACTTAGTGTACTTTGTCGGTATTCCGCAAGTTTGCTCTGTCGGCATGCAAGTGCCAGCACCGCGCGCGCGCTGACGCCAGCGTGGCGCCGCGCGTGTTTCAGTGCCCGAAGTGCTGGAGCATTAAGCCGGAGCGGGCACACCACTGCTCCATCTGCCAGCGGTGCATCCGTAAAATGGACCACCACTGCCCCTGGGTCAACAACTGCATCGGCGAGAACACCAAAAGTTCTTCGTGCTTTTCACGGTTGGTGTTTTAATGCTTCGACGTTTTAGGCACTCGTCAGCGTTACCTGTTCTCAGTATGTTCTGGAGGTTCTTGTTCTGTTGCCCTTGATGTAACGCTCTGTGTAGTCTATAACGTTGTGTGAGCTATGTTTTGTACTAAATACTGTGCTTGGGGGGCGCTGGCGAACATTGCGCGTGGCCGCGCCTGGACCGCCGGCCGCTGACCTGGCCTGCCCCGGCAGCTGTATATCGCAGCCATCTCTACCCACGCGCTGGTGCTGGCTGTCAATCAGTTCGTGACGTGTTTCCACCACGAGTGGCGAACGTGCAGCGCTCACACGCCGCCCGCCACCGTCGTGCTCCTGCTCTTCCTCATCTTCGAGGGCGTGCTGTTCGGCATCTTCACGCTAGTGATGCTCGGCTCACAGATACAGGCCATCTGGACCGACGAGACGGTACGAACTGTCTGACAGACAGCCTGTGCCTGGTTGTTTCCACGAAAGGTTGCTGCGTGAAACGTGGAGTATCTTAGCGAAACATTGTAGGTCATGGAAGTCGGAACACGCAGTGCTGTCGACAGAAACCGCTGGGTGCGCGTCGACGACTTACGGGATAGCTCCCCCGTGTCCGGCGTAACAGCCCGAGGAATGTAGCGCAGCGGCTGTGACCAGTCCGTGATGACGCCTGTCCGGACAGCGCCGTGGGCGGGATAGCTCCCCCGTGTCCGGTGTAACAGCCCGAGGGATGTAGCGCAGCAGCTGTGACCATTTCGTGATAACGCCTGCCCGGACAGCGCCGTGGCAGCGCCGGCCGCCAGCGAGCGTGGGCTGCATTCTACCGCATCTACCGATCCTCGCGGCAGGGCATCGAGACGCTGAAGAAGGAGGAGGTGCGCTGGGAGCGCCAGTCGCGCTGGAAGAGCCTGCAGACGGTGTTCGGCAGGTTCTCAGCCTCCTGGTTCTCGCCGTTCACGCGGCCGCCGCTGCACGGCAAGGCCGTCGGACACATGTACTCCGTGTGAGCATCGGCCCGGCTCAGGTCAGGTCGGCGGGCCGTGGTCAAGGGGGCTAGGTGGCGGGTCAGGGCGCAGAACGCATGGCCTTCTGGGTTGCCTTTGACGTCGGAAGTTGTGCGGATATGCGTTTTACTCCCTGCTTTCCATAGGTCCTTTTCTGGTCTTTTTCGGCATTAGTGTTGTTAGTGTACAGAGTTAGCTGGGTGTTCGTCCAATCCATACTCCGGGTCTCGCCACACCCACGAGCATGCTGGGAGACGGCACGAAAATTCACTTGAATGATTTAGCTTTATTTAATTTTGCGCAGTTTCAAACGGCTCGCCCACTCTCGCTCCAGGTGTTCCGTGTAATCGAATGTGTGTATCATATATTCGACCACGGACGTTTTCGTTGGATGCGTCAGGCTTGAACCCGTCAGGCGGCGTCGCGGCCGCCTGTGACGTCATTGGTAACCCCTGTCGTTGCAGAGTCCAGCCTAGGCGAGCCTGTGAGGCGGACGTCTGCGCCTGGCCGCCTGGCCCGGGGGCCGGCGCTGCGCCGGTGTGACCGGCTCGGCGCCGGCTGGGCCCGCCGACGACCGCCCCCGCGTGACTGGCGGTGTTTCCGTGCTCCGTGCCGGGCCGGTGGCGCCGCGTCACCCAGCCCGGCCGCAGAGACCGCTCGTCCACCGCCGGTGGCGGCGGCAGGGGGGGGGGGGGGCTCGGTGGGGCAGGTGACGGTCCGGTGCGTGCTGGTCTTCCGCGACCCCGGCTGCCGCCGGTGGTGTGATATCGGGGAGCGTTCGGCGGGTTGTTGGCCGTGCTGGCGCCGGCCACGCAGCCGCCACCATGGTGTCCGTGTGGTCACGCGGTTATGTTGTGACTATTGTCTCCGTGTTCACGGATGGGGCCGCGAGCGGCATCAAGTCAGAGTCACGCCGACCTGACCCCAGCCCTGCGGTGGGTGACCAAGGCCATTGTTGGCTGAAAGCGACGAACATCGAGTTGGTCGGTGTCGGGATCCTTCTCTCGCCGTTTTAGGTCAGACCGCACAGCGCTGCGCCGCCATGCTGCCGGACGCCGTCGGCCGCTGCCCGACAGTGACGTAAGCGGGCTGACCACGGCTGGTGCTCTGCCCTGTGCTTGGTCGGCCCCGCCCCGTAAGGTTGTGATACTCGAGTCGTGTAGCGATAGCTGGTATGTTGCGCGTCTACGCTGTCGTCCCTCGCACCGCCCGCGCCTTCGCAGCTGTGGAGGTCGCTCAGTTTTCCGGGCCGCTCGGCCGTGTTTTCACTGTGACCTCTCGCAGCGCCGCACTCTCTCCTCTCAGGGCGCGCCCGCCTCAGGGTGTCGGGCGCCGCCGCGCCACGGGAGCCTTGCGATAAGTGGCACCCGAGACAGGGCATTGGCTCGGTTCTCACACACATGTCCACGTTACTCATGAAGCACGTTCTCTCTCCCCGATCTCGGCTTAGGGGCGGCACCACGCGCTGGATGGCGCGCATGGCTGCGACGCGCCCTCTTGATGCATACCCGGAGTGGGCTGCGTGGCGTGGGGGCGCATCCCGCCTGCACGGCCCGTGCTTTGTTCGTGTTTTACGCACAGATTGTCAATGTACTGTACACATGCATGTGAAACAGGCGAGTCGAGCCGAGCGCGTGTGTGCTGTCGCCGCTGCCGGGCCCGGCGGGCGAAGCGCCGCGCGGAGGAACGGTCCCGCGGCGGGCGTCCGCAGAGCGCGGTCGCGGCGTGGTGAAAACCCACGTCAGCCGGGGCTATCCAGAGCTGCCGTGCAGTGCGAGCTTAGCAAGGACGGTCAGCCTCCCACGGCCGGAGAGACGGACTCCGGCCAGACAGGGAGTTTGATGCGCGCGTGCTAACCTCCGGCCCTCGCGAGGCAGATTGCGGCACCGCGGCCAGAACATGACGACAGGAGGGCCATGCTTCGGGCCTGAACCGCGCTAAGCGCGGCGGCGCACCGCCTTCCCAGGCGTGACCGATCCCAGGGCCCCGCGGTGCCTTCAGGCATTGGGTGTTTTGATGGCGTTAAGATGCGGCTAAATGTTCCCTGAGTGCTGTGCGCGGGATTATATGTGAAGTCGCAGCCCAGAGTACCTTTTTGTTAAAGCGTGTGGTGTAAAACTTGAGATTGACGGACAAAAGACGTCACAAAGCCACGCCTACCACAAGCTTTTGGGTCCGCTGTCGTGGTGCATTTGCAGATATTTCGTGCGTTACATCTATTCGTACCTGTTGACCCAACGACAAGCGTCTGCATACCTCTATTTCGACCCGTTGCCTAGCATACATAGTCCGATCGAAGCCGATTATGTTGCCCAGGGACACTGGAGCACGGCAGCGCAAGCACGATATCACAAGCGCCAATGTATATAAATAGACTCTGTTACCAACAGTAACTGAACAGTTATCAATCAAACGTGCGGTGTGATCAAGGAACACAGGCGAACTGAGATCTCACACACACAACGGAGCACGTGAACCAGTGACCCGGCCGCCATTGCACATTTTATACTTCACCGCGAGAACGACACGTGTAGCGCCACACCCATTCGGCCGGGGTGGAACGCTTGCTTCCTAGAATCTTGTCAGTCCAGACACACCACTTGACCCGCAGGTGAATAAGTGCGGTCTGTGACAAGTGAGTTCGGTGGCCCCGCGTGCTGCCGGTAGTCGGGAGCGCGGACCAGACACAAGGCGTCCGTTGCGACGCATCCATTAACTGCCCACAGAGTTAGAACGCGAGTAGTCGTTGGAAGACGTGGAGGCCCGCTTCTCCTGGAAAAAGGTGGCGGCATATTAGAGTTCCATCCAATGCTATCTCAAGTTCAGACCGGCCTCGCGGTTTGACGACACCAGCCCTACAGCATGACAGGACCCACCAAAAAATGATGTTTTGATGACTTTCGAGCCATATTCGAAGCGCATTTACGTACATCAACGGAAACTGGGCCCGGCTCGTGTGATGTAAGAGCTCGTGTGGTGACGATCGGAACCATCAACTCTGCCCGCCTTACGAGCCAGAGACCACGCGTCAGGAGCGCGCTCCCCGCCGCTAAGAGCAGGGAGTCGGCACATACCCGCTTCTGCTGGGCAGCGTGCAGGGGCATGCCCAGATCGGTAAGGTGGGGCGGCGGGGAGCCGGCCGTGGCACGCGCGATCAGCACCATGCACTCATCCAGCGTGCGTATGAACGTGTCGCACGTGGGGCCCAGCAGCGAGGTGGCCTCCTCCAGTTGCTGAAACGCGCCGGGGTCGGCGTCAGCTGGCTGCCGCACACGCCAGTCTTCCGTGCGGCGGGCGAAAGCCCGTCACAGGCCGCAAATTTGTGGTGCAGAGCATTTGTTGATCTCCGAGGTGGCATCCGACGTGCCAGCCGCAAGGTCTCTTACAACGAGTTTTCTGTCATATCTATCACACATCTATCCAGCAGTCCAGCCCCGAAATTTTGAGCTAGCTGGATTTCAGGAGGTTCCCTTTTGACCGGCTTCCTCAATGCACGGCAACGGTATCTGTTCGTGGCATGCTCAGATGCCACCAGGAGTGTGACCGCCCCTGCAGGCACGGCAACGGTATCTGTTCGAGGCATGTTCAGATGACACCAGGAGTGTAACCGCCACTGCAGGCACGGCAACGGTACCTGTTCGTGGCATGTTCAGGTGCCACTAGGAGTGTGACCGCCACTGCAGGCACGACAACGGTATCTGTTCGTGGCATGTTCAGATGCCACCAGGAGTGTGACTGCTACTGCAAGAGCCTGCCTTCCGTGAGGGGGCGACCGTCACACAGCGCCGAGGCCCGGGCCGACCGTGCTGACCTGCAGCTGGGGTCCGTCCGGGTCGGAGGCCGCCGTCTTCACCTGGTGCGCCTGCTGCATCAGCAGGTCACAGTACAGCCGCAGCTCGGACTTCTTGGTGCGCACGTTATCAGTGCCGGTGTCGCCTGTGGGGCGCGGCAGGCTAAAGCGCGGGACGGGCCGACTACCGTGCCCTCCTTCCCCCCCCCCCCCCCCCCACACACACACGCCGCACATCAAGCGTGGATCGGGGGTTGGGAGACCTCGTCTTGTCAATTCACATCCCTTACTGTTAGCATATGTGCTCCACAGTGTCAGCCATATATTCGCTATGCCTCCTCCCGGGATGTAACCATCGTGTAGGGGTGGGAGGGGGGCAGGGAGCGACCCATTGCCTCAGGTACCCAAGCCGAGATTTGCACCAATTATCGGCGATTTCGAAAAAAAAACTTAGTTCACATTCACCTTCACAGATTTTTGGATAAATTTTGGCACCGCCCTCCCATCCTACCAACCACGCACCTGGCCTCCTTCCACCGCGCTAGGTCGGCATCCGTCATACCAAACGATTGCACCATCTGAGCACACCAAACGACCGCACGTCCGACCACATCAAACGACTGCATCACCAGCACTCGCGAGTCAGCGCGTCCTGGTTACGCTCGCCGGTCACGGCGCCCGCCGGCTGAGCCGTACCTGAGGACTGGCGACCGGTGCGGGCCTTGCCAGCGGCCTGCTTGGCGCACCCCAGAGCGATCAGCCACTGCTGGCGCTGCTGCGCCGAGCCGGCGCGCAGGTAGTAGTGCTGCTCGGACGGGATGGTCAGGTCGAGCCGCGTGCTGTCCGTGGCGTGCACGCCGATGTCGCACACGGACACCTTGATGGAGCCCTTGCTGCCCTTGGAGACATCCTCCTTGGACTGGTAGTAGGACAGGATGCCATCTTCCAGGATGAACCAACGTGGCTGCCACCCTGTACCAGAAGGGCAGAAAAGCATGAGTCATCAGCACTTGTAGCTGTAACCATGTGCATGCACTGCTGATGAAGAGACTGAGCAATACTAAATTGTTATTGCATGCATATTGATCCACTTCTGGATGAGTGCCCCAGAAGTTTTGAGCTATCAACAAATGCCCACCACAGCTCATGTCTGAGGCACCTGAGCAAGATGGATTATGCAGGAAATTAAGCAAGTATTAAATTGTGGATTTGTGACTTGTCTGTCAGCAAAACAAAACAGTATATTCACCACTAATAGATGAGACAGCATGCACTGTAGGCTGTGGGACAGTAATCAATAACATTTTTCAAATTGAAGACACATGAGGAAACAAAACTGTAATGCATCAGCATAATTATTATAAGATGATTTCTGCTGTAACAAGTCTGCAAAATACTTACTTACCATTCCAATAGTTTGTCCATTTGTGCAATATACCCCTCCATTTTCACCAGTTATGTTTCCTCTTCCCCATCCATGCTTTGCAAGACTTCAGTGCATATCAGTAGGGAGAACAAAATTATAGTCCTTGCTTTCTCATTAAAATGAGAATTGCTGGTGCTTGTAATCTCTATGGAGATATTTAAAAGACAAAGAAAGATGAAGCCTGGAATAGACATTTGAATAGAAACAAGATGTTTGACCTACTGAATACCATGTAGACTATCCAATATGCACAAATATTTCTCACATAGTGCATATGCATTCAGAATGCTCTGGAATTCAAGTTAAGTTCTTTATAAACACCTGCAGGCACCATATTCATGACCAGATGCATCAGGAGCCTGAGGTACTCCAATAAGTGACACCTCACTGAATGGTATCAGCTGGTGCCATCTCATGTTTGTCATGTCATTATTTTCAATGTGGCACCATGATGCACAAAGCACCTGATGCCATATGGAAATGGATGCCTCTCCCCCTGGCAGAACACACAGACACTGCAGGGGATCAAATCCAATATCCCTGGTTTTTCAACTTGTAGCTTCACTAGCTTTGAAGCTTGTAGCTACAAGCTTGCATGATTCATAATAATAATTCACCATTACCAGTAGACCATTACCAGTTGAGATGAGAACCTGCCAGTTTCGAAGTGTGTCAACTGTCTGGCACTTGGCCCACTGCCAGGACATCTAGTAATGGGAAAATGGGTTTGAGTTGTTCCTTCTCAAATTCATCCAAATTCAAGCAGCATAATTAAGATACCCAACAACATTTGGTCACTGTTAAATCCAGGTTAAGAATACAGGTATGAGACAGGCATAGTGGGCTTGCCAGTAGTGGGATTTCCCTTCCATGTTGTCATTTTGCAAACCCTCTTCTTATATTATATTTCCACAGGGTTTTTCATTATATTCAATCACAGTAAGCAGTGCTTATGAAAGACATAAGCATTGCATATACTGCAAAAGACAATAACCTTTATGAAAGCAGCTTTAATGCAACTAGCATGTTGAATTATGTGATGGCCGACTATCACTGTCCATCCTTGTTTTTTCAGGTGCATGGGTGTTATCTAGAGCACATGCTAGCTGGATCGCAGCTCCTATTTTGTGAACATCCGCTTTTTGAATTTTGCAAAACAGGCATTCGTCACACCAATCAAAAATGTACTGAAATTCAATACGTCTGAAGCTGAACATACCTCAAATTGCCGGCCGTATCCATCGCCTGCAGAAACTGACAAGGTGGCAAGTGAACCTGGCGCAGCTCCCCGGATCGCCTGCGTCGTACGTCAGCTGATGATGGCCCTCAAGGTTACTTATTTATTAGAATTTTACGAAAGGAGTCCGATTCAAATGAAAAAGGTCCCCGAGTCCTCCTGAGCACCACGTGAACGATGCATATTATACTTCTTTTTCGTCCTCACCTGACACGTTACGTTGCATTGAAAACTTGTCAATGCCCGTCCAGCTAGTTCGAAACCGCACTATCGAGCGCTGAAAACAGCGAAGTCCCAAACCGCAAGGCCCTTATTGTTATGCAAAATATGTTCTTGCGGATCACACAAGGAACACTGCGCACATCAATTTTGGCACCTGAAGCCATTGACCTATACAAGTCTAGACAGCCTACTGCCATTGGCGCGGTGACCGGCCGGTTGTTCCCAGGTCAATGCCTGAAGCAGATGTTTTCATTATGCCTCTAGCCCTCCGACGTATTGAGTACGCTACACATAAGTTGCGTCACGCAGATAAGACAAAATGCCAGTCACCCAGCATTTACCTCCTCACATATATTGCCACGAATTCACCAGACATACTTGGGACGGCGGAACGTCGTTTGGACCTCACAATAGCGTCTCAAGACATCGTGCTTTTTTGCCATAGTTTAAATAATGTCCTAAGCGAGCCCACGTGTCGCCTGATTTTGTAGTACCCCACTGGCAGCTGTCACCTCGAAAAGCTTTATTTCTTTTTGTTGACTAAACGCACCGTGACAACAACCACGTACAACAAAAATTCAATCCCATGATCGCAAAGTATCCGCACTGTCGCTTTTTTATACCATTGGCTCGGGGGCTGAAAACCACACCGGGTGTGCGCTACCCTGTAACACGTATGACTCACAAAATAGTGTAGTGCGCGATGGAACATCTGTTTAGCTTGCAGAATAGTCCGCCTTATTTCTTCCTTTGCGACATATTGATCGACGAAATCATAGGATCAAACCCAAAGTCTTCTGCTCGGATTATTGGGCAACCCTGTTGTCACTTATTTACCCCGACTTCACTCATCCTCTCCTTGCCTGTACCATAATGTTTATCATTCTTTACGCACACAAGAAATAAACATTACATTTTTTCTGGGTGCCAAGCCGTCGGAGAATGACAGGGAACGATCGAGCTGATCAATTCGCTTAGAAAGCATTGACGTCCCCTGACATGACGCTGATCCTTGTTGACGATGCTTCGATAAAAATGACCATTCATAGTTTGGCAAAACAAGTTTGGCAACGACAGGGACGGAAACCGCCAGGATCCAGTTTCATGACACAATACCAGAAATTGGCCATCAGTCAACCATGCAGACTGTTTAGAAGAAAAGTATTAGCACGTCTTCGAATCGGACACACAAATCTTTCACATACTTATTTAAAACACCCTCGTCCCCTCTGCCAACCGTGTCATCGTCCCCTTTTATTTAAACATATTTTGTTTCAATGTGTTCAAAAATGATAAGAAATGAGCTCATCAAAACTGACAATGTGCTTTGTTTAAGCATGTATTGTTTAAATGTGGCTAGTTTCAACAGCAGCGAAAGGCATTAGAAGCATATTGTCGTCACCAAAACGTTGCGTTGCCGTAAAAAGTTATCTTAGGTAATGACCATCAACATCTTCTTGTCTTTTGTTCATTTTCTTAGACGTGCTGATATGCTTCAAGGACTGTGACGGGTTATCACCTTCATTGTGCTATTTCTTTCTTCAATCACATCTCAAGATTGATTTGAAAGAACCCTCCCAAAGGCGCGAAATGGTGCGAACGGCCCGAAACGCCTCAAACCAAATAAAGTAAAGTCAAGTCAAAGTGTCATTAATCATCGAGGCAACTCGACCCACTCCCCGGCTTACGCCCGATTGGCAAGACCTGTCTTGATATAGAGTGGTTGCTCCTATAGCGGCTTGGCCGGGGTTCGGGCGTGGCACGTGGCGGAAGGGTCGTTGTAAGCCCATCGGTTTTGTCCGGGCGCACCGAAAATGGGACCGATGCCAAAGTCGGCTAGCAACTGTTAGAAACCGTGCCAGATCTCGGCAACACGTGGTTGGAGCGATAAACACGCTTAGGTGAATAACTGAACGGGGAATCGCCTGGCGTGATATTTGCAGTAGTACGTGTTTTATGTCACGCGCACAGACACGGCCAAGATGGATCTGCCCGGTTTTTGGCCGCTTACATGTTTTTTGCCATAGCTTAGCAGCTACATGTAGAGGTGCTAATCCAATTTCAAAACGTCGATCGACGTACAATCGTCAATTCATGTGACCAATACGAGTTTGTGCGGCGGACGGTTGTGCCGATAGCCATCGGACGGGTCGGAAATGTCAGAGTTTCGACAGGTCGGAACTGTCGGCGTTTCGACAGGTCGGAACTGTCGGTGCCGAGTACATCACGCTGTTGCCGAAACTAGCCAGGATCGTGGCGAAATCTACACCATCGGCTGCATTGATTCATTGCCTGTATTCACCGTGATTTTATTCGTCAGTCTGTGCACTGTCACGTTCATGCGTAATATTTACCTAAAGAGTTCCAGTTTCACATTTTCGCGCAATCAAGACGCCACCGGTTGGTCGCCCAGCCGCTGGTGACCAGTATTTTAAACAATGCGACGGAACGCGCGCGCGCCGCATGTTGCCTGCGTCTGGCAGCCGCCATCCATTCATTCATTGTTCGTTCGTTCGTTCGTTGCAGCGAGAAAAATGAACCGTAGTAGCCATCAAATGCATTATTCGAACTCCTTGCTTCGACAAATACCAGATAAAATAAATGCATTGGGTTACGCATAAATTGCAACAGGTGCGATAAAAGGGCCATATAAATGCAGTAATTTTTTCAGCGAAGCTCACTGCCGCGGCAAACTGCACCCCCATTGGCTACTCGGGGTGTGTTTTGAAGCCATTCAAAAGTCTGAATATAGACATATGATACTATGTAACACAGACACATTGCAGTAACATTGACTGGTAGCAGTGGTGAAATCAAAGTAGATTTGACATTTGCAGTGGTATGAAGTGCTGTTTTCTTGCACTTTTTGAGCGCGTAACGCTCGTAGCATAGCACTCCAACCGCAGTGAATATCTGGAAAGCAGAATTTAAAAGCTGAACAATCGCTGACTTTGTCTAAGTAAGCAGATCGCGCGTTCATCGCAGAAGAATGCCTCAAATGATGGTTCCTAATCATTACTTTGCACCACTTTCTTATGCCTCATCAGCTTCGACGTATGCCTAGCTGACGCGAGCCGGCAAGTGCTGTGGCAACGACTACCTCAGGTACGATTTAATGCTATCTTCATTGGCTTACGATCGCTTCTTGACACAAACGAAATGGGGGTTCTTCGGGCATTTGTAATAGCCACCTCCAAGCATGCAAATGCGTATAAAGAGGGCGAGAGAGGTGTGGGCTATCGCCCACCGATATCTTTGAAAGTTGCAAGCGATTAATCCCATGATGCTGCACGAAAAACAAACACATGGGCTAAGTTTGTTTCCCACGACCCGCCTTCGTCCCTGGTAGCCAGCACAACACACCCTGTCCTCGGCAGGCATCCCGGGAGCCAGGGGCCAGGGGTCGGCCAGGGAATGCCATGAATGGCGCTGAATTATCGCAGAACAATACAAACACGAATCGTCCATAGAAGCTCCGTCGCTTAACGGAGCAAGCCCGCAAGTACTTGCGTGAACCTTTGGGGATATCTTTATCGATTGACAGCGTTTGG